GAGTTCATGCGACAATTCGACATTGGTGGCCAACACATCCGGCTGAATGAGTTCGGCTGCAAGGTGCTTGTTGAACTGCACAAAGATCTTCTCTGAGTGAAGTTTCTTGCGGAACTTGCTGCCACTTCCTCCTTCGAAACAGTGCACAACGTATCTTGCCAAAACATCATCCTGAGTCATGTCAACACGGGATACTGGGGCAATCAAGGCGCTCTTCCACTGTCTGCAAGAGGTGGCGTCATTTGGCAACCTTGTGACCTTAATCATCTTAAGGTTCTATGCTTGCACACTGAACTTTCGAACTCATCATAGTCGCGCCAGGGCTGTTGCCCGGCTGATGGGCTTGCCTGAAAGTGCTGTGGTGCTGCATCCGCGCCGTTATGGCCTCCTGAGGCGGGCCCAGGAGTCATGTCGTTCCACAAAGGACTTGCTGGGGATCCGGTGGAACATTCGCACCAGCGCATGCACTTTGCGAGCCATGCGCTATTACGTTCAGTTGTTCAATCTGTCTCTTAGCCTGTTCCAGTTGCCCCATCAACTCAGCAATCTGTTGGTCTTGCCTTTGAATGGCTTCCGAAGCTTCTTGATGGATTCTGGCGACACCCACTTCGGCTTGCGCTTGGGTCTGTTGTTTTTCCCTTTCAGCTTGAGTGATAGCATCTTTAGCTGAGAATGCCATTTGCATAGCTTCACATTGCAGTTGCTGCCTCTGTTCACTCAACGCTGCAGCAACATGGGCCTGCATGAGTTTCTCAATCTGCTCTGGGTCATGCATATAAACTACATTAGCAGTTTGCTGAATAGCACTATATAGCTGCTGATGCACATTGGCTGCATTGACCTGGGTCAAATGTTGAGTGGGTGCATCAACTTCCATATGGTGCAAATTTGCTGATTCATCTCTATTCATGACGTTTGTCTGAGACACTGAATGGCCTGTGTTGCCTGTTCCCTCGTGCAATCCACTGCTTTCGGCGGGCTCACCTCACCTGCGATTTGCAATTGATCACTTGGTACGGCATCTATGAACCGCCCTGTATGATGAGGTGGAGAAGTCATTAGGGCTGCTTCACCCGGGCTATCAGTTGAAGGGAATGATGATGAGGAGGTTTCTGGATCCCTTATGCTGTGGTATTGGGCTGTTAAACCTAGCCTTTGTCTGGCTGAGTCACCACCTCTTTCTTTACCTAAGCGTTTGGGACTCTCCACTTGCATATACCCCTTCTGATTGTAATCTGGCGGTCCTGACTTTTCCACTCCACCACCTTATATCACTCGTCCGAGAGGTGTTCGATCGCGAGCCACAAACTGCGGCGCTCTCCGGCGCCTTGCAGTGTCTTCGCAGCTCGGATCCGTTCCACCAGCAGCTGGATGCTCGTTGACGCAGAGTTCGCTCTCTTGACCTGTATCGTCCACGGGGCCAGCCTCGAGTCCAAGAGTCTGTTCCACCGCTCTTGCAGTTCGTCCAGGATGTCCCGGGCGTCGTCGCAGAGTGCGGTCGCTCCAAGCTCAAGGACTCTCTGTGCCTTTGTTTTGTTCGAACACCCGTCTCTTCGGCGTGTTGAACGCCACGATTTACGGTACACGAATTCGAGAGGTAAATGTGACAATGGTCCTGACACCCGCGCGTCCCGAGTTGTCTGCTCCCGAAATGCTGTGCCCACGTACGACAGGCACCGGATGGCAACTCCCGTATCCTCCAGCCGCTTCACCGCCTCCATGACAGGTGTCGGAATCACCCCGAAATGTTCCAGGGTGTTGTGGTAATCCAATATCACCAAAGGCTGTGAATTGACTGATGGCGCTGGCACTTGAACAACCTCAAGCGTTTCCACGTCTGAGCTGATGTCCTCCACGGGCGAGTCTGCTGCCAAGCAGGGATTTGCGGCTGTCCCGTCGATTCAAGAATCACCGGATCTTCGACAATGTCTGTCTGTCCGGTTTGCTGATCTCGAAAAAGCGTCCAACTCCGCCAAACACCAATGACTCTCGTCCTGTGACGATCTGAACCAAGCGTAGCTGTGATTGCCACTTGTTGCCCCGTCCGCACGCCAAGGATGTACCTCTGTCTCGATCTCTACTTCTTCCAGCTCGTCGTCTGCTTGCTCTGTCTGCACTTCTTGCACCGATTCCAGCGCGTCCTGAAAACCCGCCTCGTACGCAAGTTCAAGCTTCCGTTGCTTATATTGAACCTGTGATGGCCTGTCCGGTTGTCCTCTGCGTCGGGATCGATGAGTCTTGTGCATATACTTTCTCAAGAAAGTTGTAAGGTCTGAGATTCACCGCCGCCTCGAGCTGTACGGCTGATAACCCGCAGAAACTTGCAAGTGGTATCCTGTAGTAAACGTTATCAAGCGTCCGATCAAGATTCCAAATACGAGATCCAGTTGTAGTTCGCGGCGTGAAAGTCCCTCAAACCCAAAACTTATAAAGATGCAATGGCAGCAACGAAACAAGACACTAACCTATTCCCCTCTCACAAGAAAACAATTGTAAAGTCAAACGCCCACCGGGACCTTTTAAGGGAATCGACCCGACCCGGGGAGCGCGCTTTTTCTTGAGCCAAATCATGCAAGGTCCGCAGTTCACGGAAGGAATGCCCTACTGTAGGGATCAATTCCCGTTGATGCAAGTAACCACAAAATCATCATGATGTAATTAATGCCCACACGAGGTGTATTGCCATTCCTGTGGGTATGCAATTATTTGAGAAAGAGTGCGGGTATTTCCACTGGTTCCGAGACGAACCTGACAATGACCAATGAATGTCAAGTCTCCAAATGTGTCCGCTCAAAGTCCACTCGTCTTGTTTCTTGATGGTGCTTGCTTTGCTGCTTGGCAAACTCCGCACTCACTTCGGATTTTGTCAAATAGATCGTAGGTTGGTTTTGGCAAGTGAAGAGCACAGGCTCCGAATTGAAATTAATCAGTACTCATGTGATGGTGCTGAAGGTGGAGATTCTTCAGCTCTTCCGGCTTTGACAATCGCTGGTGGAGTCTGCCTAAGGCAAGCGGATGTTGGTTCGTCTGCGGATGGTGCAGTAGGATCTGGCTCAATGGTCGACCGGCCTTTCTTGTCAATGATCCTGTCTGCTGCAGATCCTGAACCTGATTCTTCATCTTTTAGCGGATTGTCTGCGAAGGTGAGAATGGTCTTACCTATCCCGCCTGGAATGTAAGTCTCCAATTGTCTTCTAGGATGTCTGGATCTCCGCCCTTGGATGCACCAATGATTTCTTGTCAGGATTGATTGGACATTCCTTCGCTCCAGTTGGTGTGAACAGCGCCTTACGAGGCGTGATGCGCACACGGATGAGCTGCTTGTTCTTCTTGTCAAGGATCCAATGGTCCTGATGATTTTTGGAGTTGCTGTGTCCTCTTTTGTCTCGGATGATTTGGATGCACAAACAGTTTCGCTCTTGTTCTAGGATGTAGAAGGTATTACCCCGAATTCGTCCGGGAGGCCGGATGGATGGATCTTAGATGGATGTTCTTGTCGTAATGAAGAGATCATGATACTGTGTCTTCATCATCTCGTAGGTGTAATTCTCGAGCGAGATGTTTCTCAAAGACATTGCACCGATCAGTCTTTCTTGCTGCGGATCTGGATGATGAAAAATTGTGCAATGAGATTGCCGCTGGCAGATGCGTCCTCGTGTCTTGTCTGCACGCCGTTGAGGTACTGCCTGAGTACTCCTGGATTCTGACACCGGCTGCTTGCAGATGCGCGGCCATTCTTCTTGCATTGGCATCTTGCACTGATGCTATGAGCTCTGGTGACTGTGCCGTGTGAAGGCGCATCAAGTCCATCCAGGCTGCCTTCAATCTCATTAAGGGAATTTCAAATTTGATGTGAATATGAGGAAACCGAGTTCTGCCTTCTGTGATTGAAGAAACTGAGAGGTCTGTGTAAGTACATGTTTGTCGAGCCCTTCAGGAAGAACTTGTTCAGCGTGTTCTTGAAATAGTTGACTCCTTCATCCGGATCTTGCAAAAGGTCATTTTGGAAGACTGCCTTGTACATGTGAGCGTCTCCGATGAGTCTGCTCTTGAGGATGCTTCGATGGTGGTGAAGGCCACCCAATCATCTACGAGTTCTTCATATCTAAGCCAGCTGACTTTTCCGTCGTACGATGGCGGCTGCTTGGTGGTCATCGATAAATTGAGCGTCTCTTCAGTGAAGCCGGATGATCGGCCAACGCTTGAATAGGCCTCCATGAAGCCTTCTCCATCGGAAGACATCTTGTTTTGGATCTCTGCGGAAAACCTGCGGGAACCGATACCGTGGAGGATCTGCATTTGGTAAGTCCCTGGATCTATTCCGGAGAGTCCCGGTGTCAATGCTGATGGATTGATACTGGATGGGCCCTAGTAGATTGTATATTTTTTGGATTACCCTGAAAGTGGTCCGCTGTCGTACCTTTGTATCACGGATGCAATGGCTCAGTGAGCTATGTGCATCGAGTGTGTGACATGAAAGGCCTTGAGCCAGTAAAGGTTGCGTGGAGATCAATGAGCCCGAAAAAACAAACACAGGGGGGTGGGGGGGGGGATACCATGGGAGGGGGCGGACTGGGAACCCGGAGCCCGGCACCATATATATATATATATATATATATAGATATTATGATTATTATCATTATATATGTTATATATATATACATATTGTCGCTGTGACTTACTGTAGCCTCGCTCCCGTGGACCAAATTTGTGGAACCGTTTGGTGTTTATGTGCTTGCGGCCAATAGCTTTCCTAGCCGCTTTTGCCACCTCTGCTTTGTGCACGGCACTTGAGGGTCCAAGTTTCGTAGACAGCAAGCATCCAGCTCTATTTATGAAGGCGGAACAAGAGCTCCCACGCAGTGCCAACAATGGCAGTTGCGCAAGCTGCTCTAGTTGACTGAGCAAGTTTGGGCCGGTCTTCCTTGGCTTTCGCACGCCGACACTTTGCATTAGATAAATGGACCTGGAAGCCAACAGCTGACTGCTTTCCAAGCGGCTTCTGAAGGCTTCCGTCGCCGTCACCAACTCCTGTACTGCCGATGAGCTGGATGCGGTTGCAAAGTAAAGAAAGATTTAGATCTACTGCCCCTGTGGGCTAAACCGGGTACGTGCTCCAAGTATAATATAACCCTCTAAATGGGCCCACCCAGGTTTTGAAGGGAGCCCGTCCTGGGCACCTCACGCGGCAATTGCAAAGCCCGGTCCTGTGGCTGGCCACTGAAAGCTTGCGTCTTGCACCAGGATGCAGGGATCTGCCCATGTCGGCACGGCAAAGTACAAAAGTTGCCGGAAGAGCCCTTCAATGCTTTCGGGAAAAACCCAAAGTAGGGCACGATTTCTTTAAACCAAATGATACCCCTACCAAAATGGCCTTCGGGCCGAACGGTGCTTTGGATCAGCGCCAACCCGGTGCCTTCTTTGCAATCTGTGACATATTGCGGAGCGCAAGGAATATCCTTAGCTTGCGAACGCGGCAACCCTGTCCCTGCAACTTCGAATTGACTCGGCTGCCTAGTCTTCCATCAGAACAGCAATGAGACGACTATATGAGGTTTGTTCAGTATTCCTCTGTGACAGTGGAGCTTGGTGAGTAGACGACACTGAATATTGACTCGAATCGTGTTCAGCTCATGAACCCGCCTGCATGACTCGGTTCAAATTGAATAGAGTTGCAATCAAACGGAACGCTCGCGGCAGCTTGTGCAGAAACAAGCCGCGCTTATCGTCTGGCATGCAAAGTCAAAGAGGCCAAACGTTTCCATGACTTGCGCGCAACAGAAACATGAGCGATGCACGTGCCGAAGGTGCGTAAGTTTCACGAATGCCGACCTTTCATACCTGGATCTTCCAAAGTGTGTATTTTTCATGCCTTTTCGTCATTTCAAATTTGGCTGAAAACATGGTCGGGCAAAGTCGCCGTTTGGTCGGGTATTGTCGTCGTTTCGCCTTCATGGATTTGTCCCAGAAGAGCAACAAAGTGAGAAGTGCCCGGAGACACAAACAAGTGTTGTTTATCTGAAAAAGCAGGCTTTCCGAAAAAGGCACCCTGAAGATTCAGGTATTTGCATGTTGTGCCTTAGAAGGTATGGGTCTCTACTCAGAATCTCAGCGAAACTGAACAATGCTAAAGTCCAAGAGCCACCCCGCTCGAATCTGAAATGTGATTGAGGGGACGCGCGCAATGTGAAGTACCTCCAAGCCGGCGGGTTTCCCTTTGACCTCCCCAAAGTTGACCTTTCCCTTTGGGCCTTTGGTTTCTCGGGAGGTCCAAGTTTCCAAGAGATCCTGCAGGCGCCGGATGGCCACGCGAGTGGTCGCCACGTAGATGGCGCCCTGTCAGGTGAGCCACGGTCCAAATTACTCTCCGAGTCCTAAGGACTGCTTTCCTTTTGGTGTCCTTTGCAAACAATCTGCAACAATCCCACCCTGAAAAAATGCACAATCTCCTGAAATCATGGAAAGGTGTGTTTCCCTGCTTGTGGCAACTGCGAGTCCGCTGGCTTTTGCGTGAAATCTAGTCAGCCCCCCGTGTGTTTCCCAAGTGGACCATAGACTGGGGACAAGTCTGACCTCGTATGGACTCCTTTAGTCCCTAAAACGGAAGAAACCAACCTATGGTTCATGATGCACCTTTCAAAGGAGAACTGTGACCCCTCAGCATGGTGTTGGCCAGCGGAATGAGAATGGTCCCTTGATGCACAATCTCCCTGTCGAGCGAAGAATCGCCTCGAACTGCTTGGGCCTTCACAAAATGAAGAATCTCAATAATGAATCAAGTTTACCAACTCAATGAACAAGACAACAAGCGGCATGTCTTGATCCCGGCTCGTATTCAAAACGTTCGAATGTCTGAACCTCGGGGATGGCGATGAGAGCAGAGCGTAGCGCCAGGAAAACGTTCAGCGCCGCAAACATGTCCGCCGGCTTGAACTTTTCCTCACGTCTGGCCATCTTCTTTGGGGCTTTGGCTTTTGGGGGCTCGGTGAGTCAGCGGGAGCAAACCCATGGGGAAATTGCCCCAGCCACTTTCATCCAACTGTAGTTGGCAACTGGCAAGCACTGAAAGGATCAAGGTTCAAGGTCACGTGGATCGCAGTCTCACACTGGAGGCGCACTTTGGTTACAGTCCTGCAAGTACAATACGAATTATGTTGTATCGCTTACTCTGATGGATATTTCAGAAACATGTTGCGGTGGATTCAGCCTTCAGCAATGCTGCGTGGACACGCAATTACAAAGCAGACCTGTCTGGAAGCGTTCAGTGTCTGTTGATTTCCTTGAGGCGGCAAAAAGGGATCTTTAAACACAAGGCATTCTCGTTCCCGTTTTGAACAACCCTCAGAGAGTGCAGCAGTGTTCTCCCCAAAATGATGCACTGTGTGAGCCTCCGCCAACTGCGACAGCCAAGGATCTGGATCATCCCGCGAAGAGAGTGCCAGAAATACGAATGCGAAAAGGCACCCTACGATGGGGTTGGCGCGGCCAACCTGCACTGTACCCTGCGAGAGCACTCGGTACTGCTTCAAGGGGATGCACTCCCTGGCTCTCCTTAGATCACAGCCTTGCACACACACACACACACTTGCAAGAGGTCCACAAGGTGACCTTGCAAGTCCTACGGGCTCGCTGGCATGGCTCTTTCGGCTCTGCCCCCCCCCGAACGGGTATCTCGAAATGAACTTCCCATGTGAAGCCCAGCGACTCCTTCACAACTAGGTCCTCGAAGCTCTCCTCCCAGGCGCAGAACTTGATAGCCTTTGGAAGCTCAGCCAGCAAACCAAAGCTGGCTGAGAGTCTGAGAGTGTCTGGGATGCATCATGCATCGCTTCAGCACTCACCCCGCTTGAGCGGATCTCTCAAATGCTAAGAATATTCGGGAAGCAACCATGAGTCGACCCATAGTCAACCAGTCGAATGATCTCAGCCAGGAGGCGCGGATGCCGTGAATGATCTGGCTCATCAGCCCTATGCGCACGTCGCTGCGCTCCAGGTTGCGCTTCTCCGCTGCCTTCGCCCGCACTGAAAGCCTACGCTCTCGGGCGCGAGTCCAGGACAGCTCGACATCGGTGGTCAAAGCGTTCGTTGAACGGGGATGGCCTCAATCCCATTAAAGACCCAGCCCCTAATTAAAAAGAACAGGCCTGACATAGAGTAGACTTGTTGAAGACGACAACCAAGTTGACTAGATTACCATGTTCGCCGTTGAAAGAAACCCGGTTTGACTCACTAACAAAGCCACACATCCAAGCGCCTGAGACATGAGAGATGCTCTGAAACTGTTCGCACGCCCTGGGCAAGTAGCTAATCTGAAACCTGACCCATACAAATGCTCAGCCAGCAGGGCGGGATGTTCATTTGGGGCTAGAGGGCATCTCGACTGCAAGCGCTGGCCGTCCAAATGCTTCTGCAGCTACAAGGACCCAAATGCATGGGGCGCCCTCTAACATGTTGCGTACCGTGCCCCAAACCGCCCAATACATGTGGTGGTGTTCATTCCCTTTAAATTTGCATTGACGTATCAAACCCTTCCGCGAAACCTCCCGCGAAGCTTCTGCGGTGTGAAAGGTACCTTCCGCGAGCATGTTTCTATGTAAGGTTATATAAGGCTTCCGCTGGGAAGGTAGCGAATTCGTGCGCACAGTTTGCTAGAAAACGTGCTTGGCAACAACCACCCAAACAAAAATCAAACTACTATTTGCTCATCAACGACGTCCCTTCCGCGAGCTTCCTCGCGGAAAACAACTTTCCGCGAACCTTCCTCGGCTGCAGTGCGGCGCTACCCGTTTGAGTTGATATGTCAACATCTATGCATGGTTGCTTGAGCGGGAACTAAGAAAAACACCACTCATGTGAATCCAGACCTTGCCATCCGGCACCTTCACCCAGCACCCACTCCCTCCACTTCGGCGCCCGCCTGGTGTTGAGGAATAGCATGGCCAGCATGCACAACAAACCCACCACCCCTGCCAGGCCCAACGTGTAGATGAGGATCACCACCCCCCCGATGAACTGCACGGAGGCTGCCGGGATGATGGACATGCAGAACAAGTTCTGCTGGAAACGCACCACGTCGTTGCCGACAAGATTCCCCACCTCAAATTGCATAGATCGGCGACCCCAATGGTGGGTAATTCCCACTGCAGTGATTGGACTGTGGCTTGTTCGACCCAGTGGGAGAACTTGGTTCGCTCATGGTCCGTAGCTTCACATCTGACATGGGGACCCCTCAGAGACATGTCATGTCATTACGGTAAGACCCTCAAGCAGCGCTCTGGTTGCCTCCTTGAACATCTTGGCAAGATTTGCAAAAGTAAATCACAATGATTCACCGACTTCAAGGAACATATCATGACCCAGCTCCGTTTACCCCAAGCTGCTTGCCGGTCATTGTTTTTTCAAGGAGCACCCTTCAGAATGTTTGGATGCTTTTTGCTTTCTCTTCTAGGGCTCGCTAACTCTTCCAATTGCCTAAAATGCTAAACGACACATGTCCTGGTCATTATCCTTGGACACAAACCGGCGGAATATAACAAATCAACAATCGGAATCCATCCAAACAGGGGTCCTCACACTGTGGATGGACAAAATCCTGCAGCACTTCGAAACCATGGGAAACCAGTACTTGTCAGTATTTACAGGGGAATCATCATTCAGGGTTTCTTGGGTCGTGAGGGATTTCGTTTATGTTATTATGTCTCCTTCAAATACTACTCCGAATGAAGCTCAACACGGGTCAAAAAAGGCGACCTTTAAACCAGTGTCTCTGTAAGAGGGAACCCCTTGCAGGATTGGTTCAAAGGGAAACCAAGAGTTGGGTTCCCCTTCTGAGACAAACCTAACGGACCCGACCGGGTGTCCGCCGGGGTGCGTTGGGGGCTGTTTGTAGGCAGCAGGTAGCGCAGGCCATGGAGTGGCCGTGGGCCAGCCCTGAGAAGGCGGAGTTGAAGAGCACACCCATCCGCCCGATCCTCGCACTTTGAGTTTTGGGGGAGGACGATGGATAGGGATGAACCTCATATTCCACGAGCATGCAGGTTTGTCTCAGAAGCGTGACCCCAAAAAATGGTGTGTTTCCCTTTCGGCTTCCCTTGAAACCCGAAAATGAGTCCCCTCAACAAAGACACAACCCGGTCTACTTTACAATCCCCTTGTCTACTTAACCAAGGAAGTTCCGACACAAAGCACCGCCCAAAACACCTCGCTCTCCAACAAAGCCCAAACCACCAACGTGCGCTTCGCTGGCCGGGGATCACCGCATGCCGATTCAAGGTGGACATGGCGCCCTCCAGAAGCAGAGCCGCGCAGAGCGCTGCAGCCCAGGAGCCCAGCACCCGAGAGTCAGCTCCTAAGTGCTGCACGGAAGTGCGTGGGGTTCCATGCCCGCTTTTTGGTTCGATCCATTTTGTGGCAAAGGACATAACCAATTCTTGCTCATGTAGCTCGTCCCCCAAAACCAGCCAGCTGAGGATTGATTGCTCTTCCTTGATTCCAGGTCTGGGCCACTTGCTGAAATAGCACAAAATCGGCCAGCTGCAGTTAGAGCTCTGGAATTCCCACCACCGCTACAACAATGTTTGCATCTAAATTAGAAACTTTATTGGCTCAATGGGGCGTTCTTGCCCCAATTGCCCTTCCCAGCCCCCTGCAGGCCCCTCTGCAGGCCCCCTTTGGGCCCTTCAGCTGCTCCTTCCTCCTGCGCCAGGATCAGCGCCTGCAGCAGCAGCGGCCTCGCCACCGTGGTGAGGAACCCGCTGGCGCTGCCGAAGGCTAGGCCCGCGACGATCTCCGGGCGGCACACCCGCCAGAAGACCCGCTCCAAGCTTGCGCTTCGCCCACACCTGAGCGAGGGTGTTCTTATGATTCTTGTTTGTTTCCGTTCTTTGGTTCTTCGGGTCTAACTCATCAAACTAAATTTGAGCTCCGACAGACAAACAGATAGGCAGACAGACAGACAGACAGACAGACAGACAGACAGACAGGCAGGCAGGCAGGCAGACAGACAGACAGAAAGAACCGAACCGAACCGAACCGAACAAGAACAGAATAACAAGACAAAGAACGGCCAGGACAAGAAAAAAGGGCCAAACAAACACGCAAACACACACTATTGTGTAGTTCCCATGTTCAGTATATGTTATTGACAATGTTCCCATGTACAAGTTGTTGTTTTCTCCTGACTGTGAAGATCCGAAGATGCGTTCACCCACAAATCGTAGCGACTGCTGTGCACAGCAGCTGCAGAAACATGTTCAAATTGTCACTCGTGCCCTTTACGCCCACTGCTAAGATTTTTACGGTGTGGTTTCTTGCTGTTGGGGGGTCGTATCGAATCATGAGACTCTCAGCAGCATCGCGTCTTCAAACTTCAAAGTTGACGTGTTCAAACGCGGTATCATGAGTGAACTTGTTCTTTCTCCGCTTCTTAGCAATAGTGAATCCAGGTGTTGACACTATCGTTTCCCATGATACTGTACATGTGTTAATTCGTTGACAGTCTCATACCTGTGAGTCTCACAGGTTTGAATACAACGCATACGGTATACCTGTACTATGTACATAGAGAATTGACCCTGTCACAGTAGTTTACTTTTGTGCAGACAACGCAACTGTCTGCAGAAGCAATGACAGCTTTGAAAATGTTATCTCTCATTCTAGTATTAGGTGTGTATATCACGTTTCCCAATTGTCTGAATACTCGTCTCGCAACTCTCGTTTCAACCCACGCCATTGCTTTCACATTCGCTGCTTTCGAATTGGGCTATCTTACAGTCCGAATACATACTTCGCATGTCTTGCACCTTGGCTTGGTTGATGTGGTTTCTCCTACAACAACTTTGCATTGCAACGTATAAGGCATTCCCGTTCAAGCAGATCTCTAAGACTGCTTAAGAAGTCCTATTGCTCCATTTGTTTGACAAAGAAGCTTGGTCTTAAGAAGTAACAGCATATGTAGTATACACACGTCACATCTAACAACCATGACGATGAAAGAGACCAAAGAACAACTGGCTCCACGCAGCAGACTATATTGCAAAAGAACATCCAAATGATATTGTCAAGAACTGCAAATCTGAAACGTAGAGCCCGATAATATGAGCACACTTCAAGATCAAGACACCTAAGTCTGACAAAACAAGATCGTTTCAAGGTATTTCTAAAACACTTGTTGATATCGCCCAGAATGGCTCGTTTGTCCTCATCTCGGCGCTTGTTAAAGCCCAAATACGCCCGATCTACATACACATCATTAGTGGTTTGCTCTGGCTCATGTATGAACATGTAGCTGAACACCATGTTAATGGTTTTCATCAAAAATAGGTTCCGATAGCTGCATCGTTCCATGGTCAGCTTATGAACATCAGGTGCTTGCTGATTTTAACTATCATGCTTCGTGAGTTTCAAGTTGCAAGCTAAGTTTAGAAAGAACATGTGAATGCTTGACATATTTTGCAGGTTTACGCATGCGGTTCCTATAAAAGGTGAGAAAGAAGCTGGTTTAGTTTGCGGACAATTGAGAGCTCACAATGGGTGAGAAGGCCCAAACAATCCAGACCAGCAATGAAAGCAAAAAGGACTGGCAAGCCACACACAGAAGCATCTGCAGGAACCGCAAATACAACACCACAGAACGAGAACACAATCAATTTTGAGTGAGAGAGCGATTCCACATGTGAACGAATGAATATCTTGGTATCTATATATAATTCTGCACGCGTTGAAGCTGATCAGAAAAGGGCAAATAGAGAATGAGCACATTGTATATTCAAAGTGTCCAGCCATTGCTCATACTCAAATCAAACAATCCGCAGCAGGATTGGCGAAGGACGAGCGGATTTCAGAAAAGCAAGCAACGAAAGCCAAGTTGCATCTAAACATCAAACAAGGAATGCCTGCTAAACGGAACCGAACATGCCTCGAGCAAGATGTTGGGGGTGAGATTCAGATCTTCCGGAAAAAGGATTCTACGCGAAACAAAGAGGGTGAGCAACTTTCAGAATAAGTGCGCCATTGATAAGCATCCCGGAAACAATTTGGAATGTGCACGGCGTTGAACAGCCTGATATTAGATATGATTTCGTCACAAATCATTGCCAATCGCAGTGCCAACGCAGAAGCGCAAAATGCCATGGATGCGCTGATGCGCTCACTGCCAAGCTTAGATTCGGAAGCAGCAAGGATACACAAATGCAAGGCCGCAAACAAGCGCCAAACACTGTCCAAATTATCGCTGGTCAACCCTGTCCCGGACACATGTCGCAGGGGAAAGAGTGCAAAAGTGCGCCAAACCAGATGTTCCATCAACTTGCCGGTGAATCACCTTCTTAGAAGCGCCTTCGCCTTCTTTTACACAGCTGTCGCCAGCAGCGCACAAACCTCGCTACTGCCCTTTTGCGCTGAGTTTCTTCCGTTGCTCGCGGCCTGCATGATTTCAGATGGCGCTTGACATGCGAACCCGAGAACGCGAGAATGCGAGAATCTGAGAATCGATTTGGGCAGAGGAGCCATTATCAGGTTCGGTCTCCAGAGAACAGCAAGCGTTAACGCAGCACCGGCACATCCAGCACTGCAGCATGAAAAGCAAAACGAACAAGTTGTTCTACACCGCCACGGTGCGCTGACCAACGAAAAAGAGGAGTCGTAAGCCAGTCAAGAGGCCTGAGTGAATCCAGGTCGAGTTTGCGCAGCGATGCTTCCAGACCTTGCCTCGGATCTTTGACAGGTGCCCAGCAGCCACGAGGAACCACACCAGCTGGTAGAGACGTCGCCTCAACGTTTAGCGACCGTGCCTTGGAAAACAACTTGGCAAGCTGTCCAATATCTCCAAGTACGTCCATTGCCTTGCGGGCAAGCTCTCGCCACTGCAAAGTACCGTTCTCCAACGAACTTCAATGCTCCAGCATGTACTGTCACTGCGTATCTTCCCGCATTCATCAAATTTCTGACGGTCAGCTCTCGCATGCGTCTGACAACACCCATGTGTTGAAATCTTGCTTCCTGGGCCAACCATTGATTTGCCCCATCCATGGTGACAAAAACTCGTTGACGGTGACGCAGCTGCTTTTGTGCCCGGTCGATCCATGCTGGAGCATTGGTAACCGCGGCTAATAATATGAAGTCAGGACAAGGCTGACACAAACTCCGACACTGCTAGCAATTCCCTCCCCGCTCCATTCTTTGCAGCGCGAAGCCTCTGCTTCCAAGCGTTGCAAGAACTGACTACGAGTCGCATTGACGTTTGGATCCCGCTTCAGTTTTGCGACTGCATTGACAATTCGTTAAGCGACATGTCTTGCCAATGTCGACCCGGGACAAGTCTTTGTGGTACGCAGATGGTGGGGCTGTTGCAAGCGCGCCGTAGTCAAAGTGCAGAGTAGCATTACTTTCCAACTTTGCGAGTGTCATTGCCCTCAGAGCACGCGCCTTGAATGTGGTAGTCTGTCAGGATGTGGTCAACGGCACGGGGAGGAAAGCATATGCTTCTGGGCAGACAAAACTTCTTCGCAGCGTCAAGGCAGATCCCGCCCATTGTAAGCGGCACTATCAGGACGAAAGCAACCACGAAGAAACTCATGGCGTCCAGATAGGTGAACAAAATTTGTTACAATCCCACTTGGGAACAACTTACGAACCCTTTGTCAAGACTCTGCACCTGCCTGTGCAGAAAGACACAAGAAAAGGGCATGATAGCAGCACTTTCTGGGCCGGGAGCTCTTGGACGCCAATAAGTAGCTTGCAAGATCTCGTGAGACTACTGCCCCTGCCCTTTCCGCGCGGGAGTTCAAGCTATCAAGTTGCTGCAGACAAGGATGCCTGGAAGACTGAAGCTTTCGCACTCTCTAGACTTTCCGGATCCGAGCGGCTGGGCGGCTCTCTGCTTCTCCTCCCTCCATAGAAGCTCTGCCCATGCCAAGGTGGGCTGCGCCCGCAACTCCCGAGGAACCTCCGGCACTTTCTCTGCGCCCAAGGCTTTGGCCCAGCCTGCGCTCAGGGCCTTCTATTGGGTCTGGATCTAATGGAGGCCCATGGGCGGCTTCCCTATCCCCTGAAGGAATCCTCAGAAAAGGACTGGCTCTGAGGGCAAGCCCCAAAAGCCATGGACCATGGCTATGGAGGCCGCTGTGCGCGAGGCTTGGGTTGGGACCCCAAAAGCCAAAAGGGCACCCTCAGAAAGACACCCCCAAAGGCTTAGAGGGGCAAGAGGGACCTCGGATTCGAATGAGGGTCGTTGACACAACAAAAAACGCCCCGGCTGGTACCCGTGACATGACTGTGGCAATGCCAGGCAGTGCAAAGAAACTCATAGAAACCTCCGCGAGCCACATGCGCGCATCACTGAATCCACCGATAGCAAATAGCGAGTTTCAGATTTCTCAATGTCCTGTTTGATGAGCGTTTTCTCCAATCATCCTGGAACCTTGCCAAGCGGGGGCCATTGGTGGGACAGCAACCGAGCTTGCCATGATGCCTATGGTCAGTGGTAGATGGGACAGTAGGCCACCGCTCCTTTTGAGCCTTTACGCAAGAGCCAGCCTTAAATAAGTAGTTTTGGACTGTCTTTTGATTGCATGACTCGACAAAGGTGTGATCTATCAGTATTGGCCTTCGCAATATTATTCAGATTGTGTGATGTGTGTTGACTTGAATGGACCGTGCAAGAGGGTGCATGTGTGCGATGTGCATGCAAAGCATGTTTGTAGCGGATGGAGCTGGGCAATCCACGTTGCTTCCGCAGGTGATTCTTGATTTTCGTGTGCGCGCTACTTGATTTGTGCGTGCGTGAAAATGCAACAAAAGTGAGAACCGGCTGCGGGAAAATGAAGTTTTGTTACGTACATTTATGTTGACTTGCGGTTGTCTGCCAGTTCTTTAGTTGCAAGCAACATCAATTATTGGCAGCAACTTTTTGGGATCGGCGTACGCTTTTTTGTGTAATCCCCTCTTGGGGGGTGCGTTATTTTGACACGCACACACACACAAACACAAGCCGTTCAGCTTTCCTTGCACCCCTGCCTCTGTAGATCAAGGGCAAGGTCCAGGTCAGCGTAAAGTCCGCACACCGGCTCCGGCTCAGTTTCATGGCCATGCAGGAAATGCCTGGCCTTTTGCGGGTCACGTGTTGTTGGGAAAGCCATGTAAACCATATATTCGGATCGAACGGAATCGGGCCGCGCAGGGAAGGGGGATCAATGTCGAACACCAGTTGTGGCTCATTTTCGAACATGCACTGGACACAGGGTGGGTTTTTGGTTGGGGGTTGGTTTCGGGTTGGTTTGTGGTCATAAGTAGGGAATTGGAGTCTGGCTCAAGCAGGTTGACGGCCCTTGATGCAGTACGCAGGCTTCTTGTTCTAGCTCAGTCTTGTCAAATCATCAGCTGGTGCTCTGACGCAAGGCTCGGCTTGAGGGAATCGCCCGTGCAATCAGCGATTCCAAACATGGACATTGACTGCATGCACAAAATCTTCCAAGCGTAGCACCCCTTTGCACAACATGTGGCATCCATGACGAATGCCCTCTCACGAGTTGAATCACTTGATCTGAACAACCAATTCACGCACCATGCCTGTGCCTTGTAGGATGTGTGCACGACCAATCGGGCAAAGGTGAGCAAAAGCAAAGGCGGAAGAAGGAACACTTAGTCGGGCAAACTGGCAGTCGCTCTACTTTTACCGTCGCTGTCACGGTTTTGCTGGGCCTCATCAGCCCCGTTCCATGTCATCATGGTGTCCTTGGTGTCCTCATCGCCAGCCGACTGTGAAAGGGCCAAAAGTGTGCCTGTGTATATGTGAGCAGTTGAATCCATAGTTTGCCCACTAAAATCCGGTGCATCCCGGCTTTCTTTTGTTCTATGCTTCCATGGTGACTGGCTGCATCACCAAGCACAGAGTGCAGCCAAGTGCCTGCCAGTCGTCCCGGCTCTCGCCCTTCAAGCCGAGACCTGAAAAGGGTTCCCAGTGTTTGGGTGTGAGTAGTTTGGGGGCACTGGACACTTTCCCCAGGTTTCATTGTTTTAAAGGTTGACACAGACAGTCACTCGCCTGCCTGCACAACATTGCCGAGGTCAAGAGGACAATCACACCAAACAAACTCGGCCTTCCAATTTGAATCGCAGCATTATGTGTACTCGGTTCCCTGCTTGGAGTTTTCTGAAATTGATACACGCCAAACGTGTGCGCTGCAATTGAACCCAGTCAAACCTCTCCCAATGGTTGGAGTCAGTCGGCTCCCAAAAATTGGGGCCCCAGAACAAGCCAACTAAGTTTTTTTGAAGTTTCCTCAACATGGATTGAACCCTCCAAACGGCCAAGAGGGAGGGCTGGCAAGAAAAGGTCTCTACCTAACCTTCAGACGAGGCGGCGCCAATAAAACACATCAAATGCCAAGACAAACACGGCTGCCCATTCGAAACCTCCAACGGGAGGGCGCCAGCCCAGGTGGAAGGACAACCCCGGAAGACTTGGTGCGAAGGGAAATTATCAGGAAAACCCGCCCCCCATTTTGCCACATAAACCAGGAAAGCCCGGCTAAAAAAGACGACCGGCCTCGTAGCTCCGGCACCAGGCACCACATCACCTTCGATAGGCAGGGAGTTAACTCTTCCCTGAAGTCCCCATCATCCCCCAAACCATGCTTTATTCCGCGGACAAAATCTTGCACCAAATGGACAATACTCGGAATCCCGATAAAACCATACTTGGACAAACCACTGAATCCAGCTGGTGCCTACAGATTGTGTCCATCCACAGTACTCTTACCCGAAGCAGCCAGTCCAGAAAACGGAATAGCTGTCTGCGCTAGCTAGCCCAGACCTGCTGCTCCAGCCAGTCAAATCCCCGAAAACCAAAGTCGTTGAACATCTCCATCTTGCGTTCCATAGAACCGTAAAAGTGCATACCACTGCCCATTCCTTGCGGAGTAAACAAAGGCAGGCCGTCCTTGTTCTTCCAGGCTTGCTCCATGGACCTGATGGTGGACTTGGATTCTTTGATTTGCCACGCACATCAGGCCTGATGTAGGGGATAAACTTGTCCTCTTGGTCGGCTCGCACTGCGTCACGCGCAGGGACCGCACTCAGACCAACCCGCTTGCGCAAGAGCTGATCACGGCATTCGAGCTCGTACGAGTCTGCGATGCCAGCCCAGGTGCAGAGAAGCTTCTTGAGTATGGACATATGTGACATATGCCTGTTGCTTTTCGAGGCCTGAATCAGGCTCGCGCCAATGCCTAGAATCAGCAAATCCCCCCAAAACCAATCAAATTCCCTAGAAATTTGCACCTTCGCTTGGCCCAAGCCTCTGTAGCTCTCTGCGGAAACACGCGGACGTGCACCCACCCTCTACCTTGAAAACCAGCTCATGCACTCTAATGAGCAGTCTTCAAGGCAAACTAAAGCACGGTATATACCTCAAAGCCAGCCAAAAGCGGACTGGCCGAGGCGGGCAACGCGAAGCGTTTACAACTACTAATAGTTTAGCCCTACGAAGATGACTGAGTTCGGTCTTGAACTACCAAAACCACATTCTGATTTATTATTGCTGGTCTTAAAAGGGGCCCCAGCTTTCAAACCACGTCACGAAGTCTTTGTGGCCCTCGAAGCTGCGGAGGCACAGCCCGCTGCGGGTCATCCACAGCCGCGCCGTGCAGTCCTTGGGGATTCATGCCCTTCATGCAACCCTGGCGGTCCCAAACACTCATAGCGAAGTATTGGTGCACAAGCTGAGGCCACTGGACCTCCGCATCAACAGTTAAGCGGCCAGCTGTTCTGCCTCCCTGCAAAAAGAGACCAAACGAATCCACTTGTATGGCGCTCTCTTTTGAGACAATTCATATGAGGGTTGTGCAAAACCGGGGCCTGTTTCTTGGATCCTTCTGTGACCGACAATAATTCTCAAAGGCCCCTGAAATGAATAGCTTCCCCTTGGTTCCCCTTGAAACCAGGCGCAAACATGTATTTGGTCGATGAACCCACACTCGCATGATCACTGGGCCATGTTGAAAGGCGAGAGATTGACGAAGGGCAGCCTAGGTATTGGGCATCTTTGTGAGCGATCGAAATATGTGTATAGACTGTATAGATGTGTTGGTAGTTTTTCAAAATGCCACAAGTATGTACAGGCATGTACAGGCATGTGCAAATATGTACCCCTTAAACATCACCCCACTAAAAGAACTGACCGAATTCAGCTCAACCAATAATGTTCAAGCTAGCTCAGAAGAGAAACACTTGAAGCCCAAGCCGTGAACAGGATGGGTGCTATTTTGGGCGGAGCAAGGGAAACCTGCTTGGGTCAGTGGTGTCCTTTTGCACCGCCTTACCTCTCATGCGCCTTGCCCTGAAAAGTACGAGAAGGAACTTCAGGGAACAGTTATATAAGATATATTGACTCTTTTGTTTTGTTTTGCTTTGGCGATCACTCGCTTTTAAGCCTGTCGAGAGGGTGGTTTAACTGCAAGTTGAGCTTACTGGGGTGGGTGGGATGGCGCAGGGGAAGGGAGCCTGAAGGAAAGCAGGACGAGGTACACGAGGTACGGGTATCAGCTTTCATACCGGGGATTTGCGTCAAAGCATTTCGATGGATATCGATGGATATTCCCCATTAGCTTATAGTATAATAATGTATAATAGACAACCCAGCAATCAGAGGAAATCTTTGACAGCCCATCAATGAGCGGGGGACGCCGTTCAGAGCCCTTACTTACCGCTGGATTATGGATTGGGCTCGACATTTCTGTGGTGAGCTTAGACGTCCTGCCTCTGACCGCGCTGCCGAAGCGGCTCTGGAGCAAGTCACGATCTTAGAGATCCCGTGGGCGAAGGAAGCCATGTTCACCCACTGCTCGTGGCCTCAGAAATCTGATGGACCAAATCAAAATGCCCACCCATTCATCCAGACCAGGCTGCTGCAATTGTGAGTTTATAGTCCCAACCGTTCTGACCCCAATTCGCTTAGCAGCGATTCTTTTTCCGGGCACATCAGAGGCTTGTTCGTCGCGGTGTGGTTTCCTTGGGGGACATGAGACACCGGATGGTTGCCTGAAATGGTGCGTTCTCAAAACGTTGTCTTGTCTGATTTCCGTCTCCCTCTTAAAACGCTTGCGTTCACCGCAAGCGCCATTTCATTCCTTTCTGAGGTCAAATGAAGGTCACCCTTGCCATTTGTTCCACCAATCAAAAAAATACAGCACTAGTCATCAGATTCTACTGGCCCCATCATCCACGCGATAGATTTCAGGGACATCATCCCAGTTTCAGCTTAAGGTTGATAATCCCTAAGCAGTCAACACATTGAGCCCATGCTGCTCTCTTGCGATGCAACCATGAAGCAACATGGCGTGTCAAATTTCCTGTCATTTCATCAAATACACCAACAAGACATCCCCAATTTTGGAACACCCAAGTCATCATGACGACTTGCTCAACGCTGAGGTTCTCTCCTAAAAAGAAGACAGTGTCAACTTTGGATTTATCTGGAGGACCCAAATAAATCAGGAGCCAGCCTGGTCAGTACAATTTGGCCCCTGTACGTCCGTTTCACCAAACAAAAACACAACTCTCTGTTTTTTCCCCAACAGCTGAAAGCTTTGGGGTCTCAGCCCAGATAGGCTCCGGGGTGGTCCGGGGCGGCCCTGAGGTGAGCTTCCACGAGGGTTCCACGAGGTTCTGCGAGGGCTGGGTGGTGCGAGCACTAAAAAGAGCACCGCATGCTGGTGGGGATATCACCTGAGCTTGTTTGTTTCTGTATCAAGGGTGCCCATAAGGGTGCCCTTGCAAAACCCTGACACACACCTTGAGAGGCAGCTGAGAAACCCAAGCGGCACTCATCCACTTCTTTTGTTGAGGGTATGCCTTCTTTTCCTCAAACAAAAAAACTCATATAGGGAACCTTGCGGAAACGAAACCCCGCTGAGTGGCCCAGGTAAGTCTGCACGCAGCTTCCACTTTTCGTGTCCCAGAGCTTCGCCGTCCAGTCCGCCGAGGCCGTCAACACATAGCTCTGCTGCGGGGAGAACACCGCGGAGCGCACGTAGGACCAATGCCCCTGGAAGGTGCTCACCACATCTCCTGGAGAGACATGGCCTTTTCTGTAGTACTCCAAAAAAAAAAACTGGAGGAAGTAGAACAAAGGCAAATATTTACAAAAAAAGAAAGTTGAGGGGACATCGAGAAACCAAACAAAATG